CCTTTGGCCGGGAACGCTTTGGATCCTTGGACCGCGCATCCAAAAAGCCCTTGACGAGCCCGACGTACGAGCCGTCACTTGCGGTCTCCTCAAACGTCCTGCGCACTGTCATCCAACCCCTCCGAGTCTTGGGGAGGTCATTGAGCTCGGACGGCGCAGAAGGGGTGGCTGGAGCTGCTCCTTCGCCCTCTTTCTCGCCTTCGAGAGCTTGAGAGCGCTGCTCTAACTTCGCACGAGCGTGTTTGTCGATGTCCGGATCCCCCACGGGTACGGACGTGTATATCGCATAGAAGCAGGCTGCAAGGACGACGAGCGGGATGAATGTGAGACCTCCGAGCACATAAGCATAGACAATGGCCTTGAAAGACATGAACTGTCTGCACAGCCGACTATATGCGCGTCCTAGGGAGACGATTGTGGGTGTTACAAGGAGCCAGGTTGGGTGAGTTGGTTGTAGAGGAAGAGAGGGACGAGGCAAGTGCCACAAGTGCAACTCAAGGTGCCCGCCATGCCCCGCGTCACCGTCTGCGAGTCACGTGGCAGATCCAGCACAAGCGCGCGATGACACGCATCAGGAGTACTCGTGTAGTCTCTAGTTGCGTCAACACAAAAAGTGCTACAATACATCCGGCGAACGACTAGCCAACACACAGAGTGGGTGACAGATGGTATCACAGATGCGAAGAGATGAAGATACAATATGTCCAAAGGAGTGAAGTAGGCAAGCAGGCCCAATGCAATGCCCAGTGTGGCGTTACCAGCGAGTTGCTAGCCAACCGCAAGTAAGTGACGAGGGTGGGGTGGGGTATATGGGCTGGGAGTTTTTGTGAAGAGAGGCGACAATGGCAGGAGTCGCAAAACAGCCGACAGCAACAATATGCATCAATATCTCTCTACAGCCTCGAGACTGTCGGTAGAGATCCGGAAGGTAAAACGGTCGGAATCCCCAACCGTGAACCACCGCACAAATCGCGAGGTGGACATCACTGTTTCGGGATTGCTCGGCGTATCCTGTGCGGACGTGTCCACGATTCCTGGCTCAATCGTCGCCGTCGCGTTATAGGCCGAGAAAACATGCCCCGCTTTACTTGCTCTTCGAGTGTGGGAAGTACAGCCCACCAATGGCCATCCTTGAAGCGCCACCGCTCGACGTAAGGCACGGACTTCGGTAGTAATGGTGGAAACGCGTCGTTCACAACGGGGTGCATGGGCACAGCAAGCCTGTTGCCGAATGAGACGTCTTGGTAGGGGACGAGACACGACCTGTCTCGAGGAAGCGTGGGACAGGGTGTGATAATGATTGTCGGTATATTCGAGTTTTCATTCGTGATGATCAACACATCGTTTAATTCCTATCAAAGGGGAGAGGGAGGGGGAAGGGTCGGGCCGTCAAGCCAGGTCATGCGGTAGAGCCAAGATTCACTCACAGGGTCGGATCTACGCCGCTTCACGACTTGTCGAGCAGGTGAGCTATGGGACGAGGAAGAAGGTTCAGCTAATTGAGGAGAGCACATGTTGAGTGATTCCTCTGCAGCAGTCTGGCAATGCAGGCATGAGATTCCGACGGCACAACTAAAACACACCGCACAAACCTCGCAGACAGAGAAGTCGTAGTCTTCCCAATTCGAAAATTCGACATCCGCCATCAGCTGTACCAGCTCGTAGACATCGTCGAGGAAGTACTTCTGGACCGCATAGGCGACGGAGTCGGCGCACGAGGTGGCGACCGAGCCCCAAGAAACGCGTGAGAGCGGAGAGACGAGGCCATGTAACGCGTCGAGGTTCAGAGTCTGCAGAGACAATCCGAAGTTCCGGTGAGCGTAGCACAGCGGCACAAAAGCCTTTGCCACGTACCAAAGTCGTTCGCTCATCCTTCCAGCATATGCTGTCCTCGTCCTCCTCCGGGCTGGCAATGACAGCCAAAGCGGTCTTCTTTAGCACAGAAAGCATGCTGATTGTCGTGAAAGTGGGAGCACGCGACGTCAAGAGCTTGCTAGCCATGGCCTAAATAGAGTACGGGGATCCGTCGCTCCAGGCTGAACATCAAGGGAAGAGGTAGAGTCCTGAGCAGTCCCAAGAACCCCACATCGGCTCTTGCTGCACCCGAATATGCAGGCGCTCAGCAAAGTGTAACGCCGCAAATGGGTAGACGCCAGCGCAATTGCGAGACATGTGAATTTGTCGGACACGGAACCTTGACTACGGCTGCGATTGGCTGGCGGGCACCGCTTATGCTACGTGCAATAGAGTGGCACAGTTCTATTCGTTGCCACCATGAGACAGACCAAGACGTGCAGTAGTATACATGCTGGCAATGAAGAAATGAAATGCAGACGCACGACAAAAATAAATAGAGTGCGAAGCATCAGGCGAAATGTAGTGCGGTCCTCATAGAGACTAGAACTGGAGGAGAAACAAAGGAGTGGACAACGCGAGCCAACGATGGAGAGCATCACAGGAACAAATACAAGCTGAGAATAATGATTTTAATGAGCGTAGGCGTATAGGTGCGACTCCGCGGTTGCCCACACGTTCGACGCGACCGAACTAAGGAGCGGTTGGTAGAGCAACGCGTCAGGGGGCAATATCTGCGGGGCGTGCTGGTGGACAACGATCGACGGCAGCATGGCGTTGCCGAAGCATAATGTGGGTCCGTCAGCGCAACGATGTGCTGGAGAGTCCTGCTGCGCGTGCGTGAAGATACTCTGGTCTTCGGGCATCCATTCGAGGTCCATAAGCTCCTCGACCTCATCCTCGCTCGTGAACCCGTCTTCTTCAACCTCTTTCATCTCTTCGTCTTCTTCGTCTTCGTCTTCTTCCGCATGCTCTATCTGTCCATGATGCGCGGGAGATGCAATGACCCAAGGCGGACCCGCCTGGCACGAGGAAGCATTTTCCGAGTGATAAAATGCTGACTCCTGCCGCTGCGGGATGATGAATTCTGCTAGATCAAACTCCGTGGCAGTCTGCCAAGGGGGAACGTATAGCCGAAGAGGTTTGGGATGCTGCAATTCGGGTAACTCCTGCGCAGGAGCTGCGTCACTCGGTGATGGAGGCATGTGTGGCGCTGACAGAGGCGCTCCGGCGGCCGACAATCCGCCCAAGAGTACGCTTGGCCAGCTGGCTTCGCAAGCTAGTATCTCGTCCACGGAGGAAAGTGAGAGCGAAAGATTCGGCTCCAACGTATACGCGGGGAGCCCCTGCCCCCGTGAGCCGTCGAATGTGTATGTATCGCTGGGCTGGCTCGTGAATGCGGAGTGTGGCGACGACGTCAGATGCGGAGATGTTGGGTCTATTGTAGTCGAGAAGCTGATGTCTGCGGCGTTAGGAACGGAGGTGAGAGCCGGGTCCTCGAGGGATGAGAGCGGCGAGCAGGAAGAGTCTCTCCACGAGAGCCCCGGCGTTGACAGCCCGCTGAAGCTGAGGGAAGACTGAGGGCGCTGCTGTTCAGCACATTCTGGAAGGTACGCGTCGTACCCCAATTGCGGGAATGTACTGCCTCCGAGCATTGGAGCATGCTTCGGCAACGGAAGGTTCGTCCACCGATCGTACCATTCTGCCTCGTCCTGTGAGGCATAGAGCTGTTCTGGGAACCAGTGGACTGTAGAGGGGCCCAGCATGTTAGCGAGGAAGGGT